ACTACTATCATTTTTTTCAATTTTAATTAAAAAAAAATTCAAGTTTTTTTAAAATTGCAAACCCAAAAATAAAACACAATTTCATTTTCAAAACAAGATCACCTTCAATTTTTATTAATTACTATTTTATGAACGCAGATGATTGTTCACCCTGTATGTAAAATTCCTTTTGATTATTTTCACCATCATTATTTTTAATAAAATAAATTTGTAGAAACTAATCCAGGAAATGGTGACAAAAATTGTTAAACATAAATTGGCTAATAAAACAACAAATTTATTTGTGTGCAACACTCACCCAAGTTGCTTCGTTAATTATGCTCTCGTTTAAAAGTTCCGAAATAGCAATTGCTCTAGGCTGTGGGTCCTTGCACTTGAACTTCTCAACGGCGGCAAAATGTTTTCCTAACATAACTGCTTTTTCATGTGAAGTACCACTATTGACACGCACAACACTTATTATAATTGTAATACTGAATAAGTTTTTGAAAATAGTAAAAGAATTCATTCCGAAATTGATTTTGATGAAGTTCTACTGTTAAATATCTGAGTGTGAATGAAAGCTAAGAAGGATTTTTTCAATATATAGAGTTCGCGACCCATGATGATGACTAACAGCATTGGGGAAGACCATGTTACAATTTTCTCCCGCGTATAGGTACGTACCTACTTGCGGTAGGTCAGGATTTAATCACTAATTAATTTGCAAATTTGACTAATAATAACGTTATAATGTGCAAAATTATGTAATCACATTTAATTTAGGCGCAAAATTTAAATATGTAAAACCCACAACTAGGAAATTCTAATGTCTCTACACAATTATAATCGTCATAATCTGAACCTGTTTCTGATTACAACAGCTTACTGTTTAGATTTGTTAAATAAATAAGTTATTGGATTTACACACTTTTCTTGGAATTTTGTTATTTTTAAGCACAATGAATCAGGAACAAATTGTTATTCTTTAAATAAGTTGTAACAACTTAAAACTTTAAAAAAAGACAAAAATAGTATAAAAATAAGCTGAAACTGAGACTAAAAGTTCAAAAACTTGTGAGTGAATGTGTGTGTAAAAAAACTATTGATATTTTTCAGGAACTGTCAGACATTGACCTTTTAATAAAAAAATAACGCAATTGTTAAAAACACAAAAAAGGGTTTGTGTTTTGCGAACATTTTTTTTATGTATTATAGCGGCCTCTTCTTTACTTTATTCATTAGTACTTACATAGTATAGTACATACGCACTAATTAGAAACAGTCTGCAAGATCTTATAGTTTTAAATGTGCCAGACATTTTTACCGTTTTCAAACACACATACAGGTTGTTCACCAAAATTAACCTGTTTCGTTTTTTTTGCAAATTCTTTCTAGTTGGTTTTTATTAGAACACCCTGTATCTCATGAATGGATGGTCTGATTTAATTTTGGTAAAAAGTTTTGAAAAGCTTGTTAAAATAGCTTTCATTTGATGGGCCACAAGTAGGGTAATGCCTTTTAATTTTTTAAAGTTGGGGTGCGTGGGGGTTACTAGGAGTGCTTTAAAAATTACGTCAAAAAATGTCCCCCTCGGAAACAAAATTGACCTCTTTCGGCGTTTTTGCAAAGTCTTTTTAGTTTCTGAGATAATCGAGGTGGCTCGTTTTCAATGGAACACCCTGTACAGTGTGAACAAAAAGTATGAAACTGAACGTTTTTTGCTCATTTTTTTTTAATTTTTGATTAATTATGAAAGTATTATAAAAATGTCACGTTTCTCTGAAATATAGCATTTTTTGAAATTTTTTGTTTTTGAGTTTTGCAAAATTTTTAATTTTTTCAAATGGCAACAACCCACTTTAAAACGTTTTTTTATATAAAGGCTATGATTTAAGGGCAACCATCTACACTTTGTTCAATTACCTATTATCGAAAAAAAATCATATAAGTTGCCATTTCGAAAACAAAATCGCAAAACTCAAAAAAAACAAATAATAGAGTCGTTGCATCCTTGGGAGTTTTTGTCTTTTTATCCATTAATAAAATTAACTTGGAAGAGTATGAAATACCTTAATTTCGATTATTAAGTTTGGGGTAGAAATAAATTTTTTGATATATTTTTTTTGTACTAAAAATTAAGATTTCAAAAAAAACGAAAACATGGGTCAATTATTTTTTAAAAAAGATTCAGAATATGCAATAAAAAATATGTGCAACGACCCGATTAAATTTAATTTTTAAGACACGATCACATTTTTTATAGCACTTTAATTTTTATTCATTATTATTTTCTGAAGGCAAATGTTTAAAAAAACCGTAGAGTGTTTGTATATGGCATTTTTTTCTGGGGCTAAAAACCTTGATGTACCAAGAGCATTATTGGATGTTTTTGCGACATCAAATAATGCCCATGTTACATACAACATTTTATGCCTTACTTTCTCCAATAATTTAACCTTATTAAATGAAAGCCCTGATAAGAGTAAAGAATTTAAAATATCGAGAAGTAATAACTTATCTTAGAAAACTGGAAATTAAAAAAAATATATCCAAAATGTTTCAGTACAGGAACCAACAAGAAATTCCCAAAGAAACTGAAAACTTACCTAAGGAGTCCAAAAGATTATATGATAAAGAATACGACGAATTTCTACGTTGGATGGCGAACATAGTTTGGACATTATAAATGAAATTTTCTTATTTGGATATTTTTTCGAATTGGTATGTGAATGACAATTATTTAGTCCCAAAATAATCAAAATCTTTCAATATTTTGAACAAATTTTTTTTCGGATAATTGAAAATTGCTTTAAGTAGATTTGTACCAGTTTTGAATATTATGGTTTTAACGGTGAAATCTTTTGACACCAAAAAAAGGTTAGTTAAGTTACAATGAAGACATATCAAAAAGCTATTTTTACACTTTTTTTACTATAATGGTGAACACAATAACATGTAATTAGGTTCAAAAATTAATAATGTTATTTGACATTTGTTGGAAAATATGGAAAATGTCGAATAAATAATAAATCATAATAAATCAAGAGCAGTATAGACTACACTGAGTTTTTTTATTATTATTAAAAATACAATATAAGTACACAGCCCTATGTTTGATTTAAAAAAAACATGTCGATCCATTGCAACCTGTCTGTAGTTTAAAATAAACAAAAACGAAAATAACTATATTTAAATGAAGACGAATACAAAAATCACAGGCAGACAGAGCGCATCTTCGATATAAAATTATGGAAAAGATACAGAAAACAATAAGAACAAGAAAATGATAAACAATCAGAAAATTTTACTTTGTCTCATATTTTTTGACATTTTTTGAAAATGGTTAAAGATAAGGACAAAGTTGTGGAAAATTAAATTTTTTTCTAAAAAACCTGCGACATCATATTATTTCATTCCTTTGTCCTTCCATGTCCTTTGTACACTAATTTTCTATCGTAGCATTTTCAAAAAAATTCAAAATTTGGGAAAATAAGAAAAAGCAAAATACCTGGTTTTATTTTTTTAAATTATGGTTTTCAGCAAAATGTTTGCTATAATTTTATTCCTTACTGTGAAGTATTTAATGACATATATGTCTGTAATTTTTTATTTTCTTTTCATCACCTTCATTAAATAAAGCAACTTTTTATTTCGTTACTCTTAAATTTTAGATACGCTACTAATTAGACTATCATTGAATGATACCAATGGATTGACATGTTTTTTTCTTGAATTTTTTTTGAAATTAAACTTAGGGCTATGTTCAGCAATATAAAAAAACTCATAGTATAGTTTGAAGAGAAAACAAAGAGTAAAGTTTATCTGACTACAGCGTCTTTTATTATTAAAAAAATTTCAGTTTTGAAACTAATTTTCTGTCCTGAAAATAGATTGTACCTATACAGTGCGCCAGAGAAAAATGCCATGTAAGGTAAGATACCAGGAACATAGAAAATATGTTAAAAAAATTCTATTTGCAAAAATTTCAAAGTTATGAGAGTTTAAATTTTGCACTTTGACTTATTTATTTCTTGTGAAATTTTCCAAGTTTTTTTGCTACAGGCTATTAGAAGAAGAAACAAGGAGGAAGCTGTATCCTAAATTGTAACTCTGTTGAATGTTATTTGTGGTTTTTATTGTCAAAATTTTTGTACCTTTACTAAATAATTATAAAAAAACAAACAAGATCATCAGAATCACTAAATAGACATAAAAAAATGTCAAATCAGAGAATTTTTTTTAATTTGTTCATGTCGTTTATCTTACAATGAAATTTTTCTCTGTATTGCATTTTTTTGACAATTTAACAAAACAAATCTTACGTAACTTTACTATTTTATCCATTTATGGAGTTTTATAAACAAAATTTAACCACAAATATGAGTTTACATAGACCACAATTCGTGATTGTGATATATTAAAATAACATTGGGGGAAATCTCCAGAAACTAGATGCTAGAATACTACTATAACTATAAATAACTTAATTTTATTACTGGTGACGTGTATTAATAAAACAGAAGCAATATTCCAATAAGAATTATGATACGTCACAGGAAGTGTTTCACTATTTCTGACGTCATAAATGGTGGTAAGGGGATTAGGTGTCGATGTCACACATGTTATGCAAACTGTGATCTCTGGACCAATTTATAACAACTTTAATAGTTCTGTATTAGAATATGAATCATTGTTAAATGTAATGCATGAAAAAATAAATTCATAGAAGTAGAATTGCTGTTTTCACCAACTAAGAATACTTTGATTTTAATTAAATATTTATATTCAGGCTGATTCTTTTAGGGCCTTTTACGTGATTAACTATAAAAATAAAACACGTTTTTCGTGATTATTTCAAAAACTGAAAGAGATGGATATAGGACATGTTGATAAAAGTCCTTCTACAAACTGATGCAAAATAGAATCACTTCATTTGAAAAAACTGAGTTATAGCTGTTTTTAATCACCATTAAAAAAAAATCAAACCAGCCTTGAAATTTGAGAGTTGACAATTTTGAAAATTATGAAAAAATCTTCGAACCTTTGGTTATCGAATGCAAAAAAAATTATTCACTTATCACAAAGGGTTCAAGAGCGGTGATGTTTTGAATGAACCTCTGCAAATGAAAATTTTGACAAAAATGTCAAAAACTATGACAGATAAGTACTAACAACAAGGTGCATTTTACTCAGTTTGAAGAGAAGAATTCAAAAATACAAAAAAATAAGTGGTTACCATTTAAAATTTCAAAGTTGGCGCCAATTTCTCCTAGTTCCGGAAGTTCACCCATTTTGAAAATAATTTAGCTGAACTCAGACTGGTCGATTTGGGTTGTGAAAAAATTGCAAATTCCTATCTGCATTAGAAATTAAAAAGTTTCTAAAAGAATCGGAATGCTTAAACAATTACGACCTCTGTGCCAAATTATGGTATACATTTTGTGTTTTTATTAAAAAATGTTAGCCATAATTTGGGACAGAGGCAGTACATTTTCCTAATACAGGGTGATTCAAAAGTGTCAGATCAATTCTCGAATGGTAATAGCTAAGTAT